GGAAGTAAGGAGCTGCTGAGGGACATCTCAACACAGAGGACTCCTCTCCTAAGAGAAACCCAAAGCAAAGGACTCCCTAATGCAGAACTTAACTCACAGGAGGTGATTGGAGAAGGCAAAGTCAGAAAGCAGACCTGTGACTGCCTGTGCCTGAAGGTAGGATCGGGGACTCACTTCCAACAGGCATATGGATCTTTCTGGAAATGTTCTCCTCACTGAGACACACTGCACTTACAAAGCCCTAATAAAACTACTGGTCTGTATACTTGATGCAGGTCAAATGCAGTAATAGCATGCTGTGTATCTTAATAACCCTATTCCAAAAGGGAAGATGCACCATGCCCTAACCAGGCTTCCTCAGCCCCATGCTCCCAACCCTTTCCACCCTGCTTGCGAGGGCTGCCCCAGGCCTGTGGCACGTTTCGCTGTCCACCCACCTAATGCCAGCAGCAGAGGTCCCCCACTCCTGCTGTGACAGCCAAAAAGGCTCCACCCATGGCCAAATGCCTGTAGGGAATGAGCCAGCTGAGACTGCTGGTCTAGGCCTGCTCGTCCAGTCTCTTTTGTCCCCTAACATCTTGTCAGTCTTCCTCATGCTGTTCCCTGGCACTCTACTGCAGGGTGGTTCTCGTTACTGGAGCAGTGACGCTGCCACTTCACTACTACAAGGTCTATTGCGATAAACTGCCTCACAGAGAAATCTTTTGAATACAGACATGAGATGCTCCATGACAGTGTTCAGTAAAAAAGAAATTTTGGCACAAAGATGGTCACTGTGAGCACCCACTGGCCAGGTAGCCTGGCGATAGAAGCGATGGCCTGCGAGAATCTTAGGACAAGCACTCTCCCCAAGCCCAGATGGACTCAAAGGAACCCGAGGATGGAATCAACCCAGGGACAGCAGCCTTTCTGGAAGGGGAAGGTCCTTCTCAGGTAACTACCACAGCCTCAAGAGTCTGCGGGTCTGGACAGGGTACAGCAGCAAGGCCACAGACACACAGGGAGATGACCAGTGCCAGGAACTTCTGGACCACTACAGGAGGACGGAAGAGGATACAGGGTCCCAGAAGACTTCCACCCTGCCGGCCACAGATGACACCAGCTTCTGTTCTGCAGAAGTACTCCCAACTGTACCCCAACATGATGGCTTGGACAACATGGCCCATGGGCCCTGAGGCTGGAAGGGGTCTTAAGCCATGGGTCCAAGCGAAGATGGACCTTTCTCTCTCTCTCTTTTTATTTAGAGACAAGGTCTACTATGTAACTCAGGGTGGCTCAGACTCATGATGATCCTTCTTGCCTTAGCCTCCCAAGTGCTGGGATCAGAGGTGTGTACCATATACCTGCCATCTGGACCATATTGTTGTATTTTATTTTGTTTTGGTAACATGGATCGAACTCACGACCTTGCACTTTCCAGGTAGACACTTATGCTGCTAAACTAAACCTCCAGCCCATCTGGACCACTTTGGATCCAAACAAATGAAGATCAGAGAAGCCAAGTGACTGGGGAGACGCACAGCTCTAGAGGCCCATTTCTGTAACCCACTGTCCCAGTCACAGTCTGCTGGGTTGCAGCCCACAGTCCACCAGAAGCTCAGCAGGACCATCAGATGTACCTCCTGCTTTTCATCAGACAATGCCTGTGGTGACTTTCCTGAAGTGCTCTGATCTCATTCATTAATTTGCCTGCTCCCTGGGCCTGGACTCTGAGGAGTGACCTGGGTTCACCCAGGACAGAAGCCTCTGCAACTAGCACTGCCTCAGTAGCCCTCTGTCCTCTACCTGAGCATCCGAAAAGGCAGGACTTCCACTTCACTGTCCTGAAGAGCCACAGACCCGGCAGATAGATTTCACAGCAAATGCCAGCAGCATCAGGCTTCACAAGACCTTAAGGTCCAGAGACTCAAGGGCCCAGAGGTGGCCCTAGAATTATCAAGTAGAGAGAGAGAAAGAGGAGCATCTATCACAGGAGAGCAAAGCCCAGCCAGCCTCTGCCAAAACAGAAGGGTGAGACGAACTGACAGGAGGACAGTTAATTCCCTAGTAGATGTTTAAGTATATCTATAAATGGACTCTTGTTTGTGAAGGGTCTGGAGCACACCCAAAACCCACAAACTCACCAATTTTGAGGCAGGGGAATTCCACAGGAATGCAAAGCCTTACGAAAACACAGAAGTGCTTTCCCCAAAAACAGTTCTAATTGCTAAGACAGGTTTTCAAAATATTGGTTTAATTTTATACTGTTTATCTAAAATTTATAATAGTTACCCTAACAAATCTGTAACAATAAACACTTTTTAAAAAGCATTCTGCAGGGTGCAACTGTGCCTTCAACAAGCTTCTAAATCCATCTAAGTGGGTGCACCAAAGAGCTGACATCTCCAAAGGCCTCTAGCACCCACAGGTGCCGACCTGGACTCACTAGACCTCCCTGCACGTTTGCACCCTGAAGCAGTGTGCTTTGCAGCTGGCGTGCTTCTGTTGACACAGGGCATAGGAGACAACACAGGGTCACACCTCAGTGCACACACGTGCTTTCACTGCTACACCTACTGCACACTCTGGGACAGCACTCCAGGGGCTCCCATCTGCCTGCACCTCCCTTGCACTCCAGTTCTAAAAATATTCAACAGGAAGTTCTGTAAATAACTCAAGTTGTAAATAACTTTTATTAAAATGCTGTCATAGCTGCTCTATCTTACTGGTTATTGCTGTTAATCTGCTTTGCCTAACTCGGCACTTAGGCGTCATCGCTATCCAGTTTCAGGAACCCACCAGGGACTCAGAACATATGCCCCTGGGATAAGGGTGACCAACCACATCAGACACAAACACAGGAAACACAAGTGTTCAGACATAAAAAGCAAGCACCACAACCCAAGTTAATTAGCCTTACAAATTGTAAGGAAATGTCAGGCCTGCTATACTTGGTCTACACGGTTCTGCAGATCATTTTTGATATGATCTAACTTTCACGCAACACCAATGTTTCTTAGCCTAACCTGTGGATTGGGAAGAACTGTGACACAAGCAACAGGCAGAAGTCCCGTCCTTGTAGCATGGAACTCATCCCAGGCACAGGTACCAGGATGCTTCTTCCTGTGCCCAATCACCAGAGCCTGCTCCATTCCACAAAAAGCAACCAAAAACCTTCTAACCAATGGAAATAGCTCACTTCACAAACAAGAAAAGCAGGAAACTGATAACAAATTTCTATTTCCTAAATTTTACCTTCCTTGTTTTCTTGTACATCTGAGGGAGAAAGAAGAAAAGTGCAGGATGCACTGTATACTGCAGAACACACTGGAACCTAGCCAGTTTGTTTGTCCTTCCAAGCAACATTACTTCAAGTTCAATATCCTAAGACCTAGCATGGGGTCAGGCACCACACTGCTCCCTCAGAACAAGATGCATCCCAGGACCAAAAACTAGAGAACCTATCAACCCTGCAACAGTAAGCATTAATGAGAAAGGGAGGAAGGAAGAGAGAAGAAGCAGCAACCACCTGCAGGCAAGGCAGGCCCACATGCACCCACTGCTTCCAGTAACTTTTCTTACTGCCAGAACTTCAGGCTTTTAGAGACTTCTGGAAGCCAAAGCCACCCATACAATTTGAGGCTAACCCACAATGACCACTGAGGTATTATACTGATATGTATTTTTGGGGTTTTGACCATGATTCCTGGCTTACTAATAGTACAGCTATGGTTTGTGTCTGGGTGGCCCCCAAAGCCTCAGGCAGTCATGGAGGCGCTGAGTCTAGTGTTTAGGATTAGTTGTCTCGCACTGGGATTGGTGGTGTGAGTGCTGTACCTGCCCAGGGGTGGGGAGCCAGAATACAATATTAGACAGGGAAGCAGGAGAGCTTTGCCCTCTTTTACCCTTTACCTCTTTTACCCTCGAGGTTTGTGGCTGCCATGAATGGTCACCCTGCCTTGGAGCCTGCTGAATATGGACTGAAACCTCCAAAAACTAAGATAAATGAACCTTTCCTCGCTTAACTTTGGGCATTTGGTATTTTGTCTCAACAATGAGAGAAAAGTAACCAAGGAAACAGCCCTTCCCCAAGACAGGTCTTAGAACCAAGAATGTCTCTTCCTCTGACTTGTGATACAAACTCATTTTCCCTTCTTTTCTGTTTTGGAGTAGCCTAAAACTAGTCTCTAACTTACCCTTGGCTAATAGTAGGTCATAAGACCTTCCTCATGCTGCGTGAATAACCATGCCAGTGACGTCTCCCTAAACCCCTCAGAACCCTTGGAGAGGGGACGACACTATGGATGGTGGAGCGCAGACATGCTCATGGGGAAGCACAATGGGAGCCTGGGCTCATGTCCCTCCATATCACACCCATATGTCCTCCATCCAGCCCCTCAAACCCTTTAAATGTCCTCTGCTGTAAATCAGCAAACACAAGGAACTGTTTCTCTGAGTTCTTGGAGCCTCAGTAGGGTGACAGGAACCTCAATCTGCAGCTGGCTGATCAGAAGTTCTGCAGACTGGACTTGTGACTGGGACTGAAGTGGGGGTCATCTTGGAGATGGAGCTTCCAGCCATGGGACCGAAAGACACTTAAAGAGATAGTATTGAGCCTAAACTGCAGTAGGTGATAACTAGCTGGGGTTCACTGCAGATGCAAGGTTTGCCCACTGATGAGGAGAAATCTGCACATCTTTTGGAGCCACAGAACTTTTCCATGTTGATTGTGGTATGAGAGAAGAGGAAAAAATAAGGAGTTTTGTTTCTCCTAATAGAACATACCACCACGTGGAGTCTACAAACATGATACACAACTAACCCTTTACTGCTTCTAAGGAAGCACTGATGGATGTCCGGTTGCCCTCTACCCACAGCTGAGGAGGCCAGGCACAATCTAAGAGGCACAAGACCCACCTGTCCAGCCCTCCCAGTCAGCTTTAGAGCACAGTCCCACTGCTAAATGTGATTCTCAGGTTCTTTAGAAAGCACTAAAAACTAGTAACACACGAGTGACTTACATGATCAGTGCCTCCCATTCAAAAAAGTTCTCTTCATTCATGGGGCCTGCAGGGACACAAAAGAAAATTCCACAACATTTAACTCTAAAGGCAACTTTGCTGCTTTAGAAAGATTATAAAGGAGTTATCTGAGTCTCTTACCTGCCACAATTCCTTCTGGAGGGTTCAGTGTTAATTCTACAAAATCAAAAAGTCAAATCATTATCCAACAATGAATATTACATTGACATTCTAACAAGTCATTTTTAAAAAGTATGTAAGACTACACATTATAGAGACCACATATTAAAAACAGGCCATTCTATTTGTCCAAAGTAAATGCCCAGTCCAGTTACACTATTGATAGAAACTATATAAAGTTATTTATACCAACAACACATAATTCCCGTTTTACAAAAGAAAAAGTAAATTAAAAACAAGGGGGTAACCTTGTTTACCCCCTTGGACTTCAAAAACGTCCAAGACTACTTAAAGCTCACAAGTCTAACACAGTATGTTATTTTCCAACTAAGGGTTATTTCCTCTCATTTTAAAAGGCACATAAATAAATAAACAAATGACTGGCATGGGACTGCAACAAAGTAGCAAAATGAGCCAGAGTCAAGGTGGCAAAAGCTTGACATTATCAAACACACTAAACATTTTGTGTAGTACACTCTGCAAAGTCACTGAGCCCTACAGGCCTGACACCCCCAGTGCAGCAGCCATGGACGATGAGATGTTGGGAAAAGGTCCACTGTGCGCCCCCTGACAATTTAAGGCTGTAAGATGCTCATGATGCAGGCCCTCCTCTGACCCTGTGAAGCTTCCTGCAAGGTGTCACTTCAAATCTTGGCTTCATTTTCAGCCTGGCTATGTGTGCATATAGCAAGTGTTCCAAGGGGTCCAAGTGTTGGAAACTTGGGTCCTCAGCTCCCTGGGAGGTCACAAGTCACAGGCTGCACAGAGAGCTCGTGTGCAACCTCGCGACAGTTCTCACAAGTGTTGCTGCTTGGGGCATAAGCCTGCCTGCCTCTCTGGCTTCCAGCTAGAAGTTTAAGACTACATCTGTGGGCAGGCTCCTGCCACTGCCGTCAGTCACCCAACACTGGCTAAATAAACCCCTCTTCTTTAAAAAGCTGTCTATCTCAAGTACTTTGTTACAATAATGAAAAGAAGACTAACGCTACCTGTTGGTACAGAAGATTCCAAAAATGAAGCCAAAGCTGAGAATACGTGAGAACCAAAGAAGGGAAAGAAAAGACAAAAGTCGACTTCTGGGAGAACATGGCGGACAGATAGCAGCAGCTACGGAGGCTCTCTGAAACACCCAGCTTAGAATTCAGGAATGGTGCTGAGTAAGGAATCATAAGCAAGAGGAGATATGCCCTGGTGACCCAAGAACGAACTGGGCTGAGAGAAACCAACTGGGAATGCAATCCTGGTGCTATAACAGGAACAGATAAAGCCTCAGTGTGGAAGCTGGAGCCCGCGCCATTGGAAGCCGCGATTTGGTTTCCCGCCGCTGCCGCTGCGTCTACATCAGCTCGGCAGGGAGAGAGACGCGCAGAAGCTCTGAGAACGGGAATCGGTGAAGGGAGTTGAGAGCGGGATAGGCAGGGAGCCATACATCCACCCCCCGGTGAGTGAGGGAAAATTGGGACTCTTCCACAGTCTAGGAGACTCCAACAGAGGACATTCTGGGACCTGGCAGACTTGCGGGAACAGGACGCTGCAGTGACTTCAGTCACGTATATCCCCCCTCAAGCGGGATTAGTGAGCAGTGCCTACCCTACGTGACGCTGCTGGCTGAGACCCAGCAGGCTAGCACAGCCCAGGTCACAGTCCCTGGAGGTAGACTGACCTGGAGGGACGGGCCCCGCATAGGCTGCCTGGTCTGCAACTTCCTGGTGCACTGCGGTGGGTGGGAACACCTAGCTGGCGCAATTCAGTCAGACTGTGGCTGACAGGAAAGGAAGCTGGGCCTCCTATATACGCTTGCATATATAAGGAACAAAGAATATGGGAAAAGGCAGCAACAAGAAAGGGTCCTCGGCCCCCAATCCTGAGAAAGAGACAACAGCAGACACAGTACCAATAGACATAAAGCGCTATCTCGAGAGCCTCATAGACAAGTTCAGGAATGAAGTTATTAATGACCTGAAGCTAGACATAAGCAGAATAGTTAGAGAAATGCTAAGCACCACTCAAGAAAAAACAGATGGTAGAATGGAAGAACAGAAAAAGAGGGGAGAATTGTTTAATGGAGAAAATAGAGAAAACATAGAATACGTGAAGCAGGTTCAAAGAGACTACCAGGAAACTAAAAAGTCTATCGAAAACTGGCATAACAGCTTGAAAGAAACTAAGGACAGATTATCTGAACTGGAGAGAAGATTTGTAATATGGGAGCATGAAATGAAAAACTTCTTAAAAATAACAAAGAAACAAACAGCAATAATACAAAGACTAGAAGATGATAAGAGGGTCTATAACTTAAGAATTAAGAACATAAAAGAAGAAGTAGGGACACAAACAAATGAACTACAAAAGCTACTCACAGAAATAATCCAGGAGAATTTTCCTAATTTAGCAAAAGGTAAAGATACTCAGTTGTATGAAGCATACAGGACCCCAGCCACCTACAACCCAAACAGAACTACACCCAGGCATATAATAATTAAAATTCCAGAAATCCAATACAAGAACAGAATACTAAAAGCCATCAGAGACAAGAAACAGATCATTTACAAGGGAACACCCATCAGAATTACAGCAGACTTCTCGGCACAAACCATCAAATCACGAAGAGCGTGGGGGGAAATAATTCAAGCTTTAAAAGATAATAACCTCCAGCCAAGATTGATATATCCTGCACAACTATCCCTGGAAATTGATGGAAAAACAAGGTGCTTCCAGGATAAAGAGGAACTAGGGGAATATGCAACCACCAACTCAACTCTACAGAGAATACTGCAAGATATTCTAAAAAAGAAAAATACAAAAAATCCAGAAGTAGTGGCAGAGACGCCACAATGAATGGAGCAGAAAACAAAATGAAGAAGACAAACTGACAACTAATGACAGAAAAAGAGCTCAACAGAAATGAGGCAGAGAAGATTGGATGATAGGAACAGCTATTTTGGAGAAAATGACGTCTTAAGAGGTAATACTGATTTAGTATCATCTTGTTTTGAAGTCTCATCAAGCTTTTGTTCTTCTGTCTCCATTGGTCTAAACAGGTGGTATCTTATTGGATTTTATTATATATGATAGTATAAGCAAAATCCTTTATAGACAAGGAGATTATACAGAAATCATTGTTCATTTTCTGTTAGTTGATTCTAAATACCCTGTAATACTGTCATTCTCTTAAATGGTTTTACATTGTTTTGATATATTTGATGCTACAGTATACAAAATTATACTCAAAGATTTCAAGGAAAGAGACAATATGGTAACTACTTTTATGTCAGGATAATCTTGTGGTGAAACACTATTTTGCTTAAATGGTTATGTTTTGATCTGCGTTGATTTGCTGTTATGCCCTCTTTTATCTCAATCTCCATTTTATTGTTTACTTTTTTTATCCTTTTAATTAAGGGAAAAATAAATTTAAAAATAGCAGGATATATTATAGTAACCCACTTTGACTTTCCATTATCTTGATTTGAAGCCCTGTATTGCTCTCACCATCTTGTTTTGACTGATGTTTCTCTATTCTGTTTTGCTTGATAGTACAGGTTCGAAAGTTTAGGCAACAGCTGTGAAGATAGTGGGATTCATTATGACGCCCATTCTGGTTGACTATTATCTACTTTTGAAGACCTATAATGTCTCCAATGTTTTGGTTTTGTTGGTTTTGTTCTTTACTGTTTTGTTCAAATTTTATTATAACTAATGATATAGGCAATTCTATTAGAGATAGCGGGAGGCATTATGGTAACCATTGTTGATCACCTAGTATTATGCTTTTACATTATCTACTACGTCCACCCTTTTGATTTGACTGACTGTTCTGTTATGTCACATTTGGTTCTACTCTCTTCCAAAAAAGTAATAAGAACTGTGGGAGCAACAAAACCCAAAATGTGTAATTGTCACTGTACAAAAGAGAGGAAAAGAAAGTGCTCTAAACAATATAACTACATGTATATTTAAGTGTGTAAGACAGATAATGATATTACTGAGTTTTGTTGGATCATTGAACAGAACTGTTTGCAGTCTCACTGTTGGAATGTCCACTTTATAAGCTTTAATTTTGTAACTTGAACAATTATTTCTAAGATGACAAAATGTAATCCATTAACTAGTGATTTCCTACTGTTTATTTTTTTCTGTAAATCTGTATAACTTGTACCCTGTCTCTGCTTTTTTGTTCTTTTTCTCCTTAAAAAAAAAAAAAAAAAGAAAAGAAAAGGCAAAAGTCATACTAGAAGGGCTATAGTGTATGGAGGAAAACCAGCCACAGAACACACTCTCTGAAAAGTAACAGAGACCAACAAAACCAAAAGGTGACTCCCTGGAGAAACAGAAAATTACTGGATCCTTGACAAACAAATACCGTATTAAGGCATACAGACTGGAAAAGAAGAAAACAACCTCATACTCACAGACACTAATCCTGGCCTGCAAACTAGAAAACTAAAGCTCTTTCCATCTCACATGACATTCAAAAATCCAACTACACACAGTCTCTCACCATTTAATGAAGGGGACACAGTATGAGACACACAGCGTGGACCTCACTGTGCACTTACACAAACCTGGCTCTACAGGATGATCACTCTGCACAGCCCACCGATGGAGAGACAGGGCAAACGCAGGGCTGGTGGTGCAGCCTCTGGAGTAATGGGCCCTGTTTGGAGCACATAACCGGAAGGAGCACAAGGAAATAACACAAAATGTAAGCAACACGTAAACCAGTAACACAGACTTCCCAAAAAATGGCAAAGTGATAAGCAGCAGAGAAAGAGCCTCTCTGAGATTTGGTGTCTAGACACTGTAATACAGCAATGTGAGGAAAAGGATGGAAGTGGGTTGCCTGGACTCAGGAAAGCTCTGAGGTAAGAACTGAAATCCACGAAGAGAGCAAAGGAAGAAACTTCAAAGAAGGAGGTGGAGGTGGTAAGCTGGTACCTTCTCCCTGAGTCAGGACTCAGTGCATGAGAGGAGTGGTTTACACTGACCCCAAAGGC